AGCTGATAATTTTTAAACTAACACAATTTGTACGTTAAATAAGGATATTTAATAAAAAGATTTGATCAAAAGCTTTTTTAGTTATGCTAAAGCCAATCTTTGTTAGTGAACACTAAGTTTCACTTATTTTCTCAAATTATTGTTCCATGTGTCGTAAATCCTGAGGTACAATATGAATTGAAAGAAAGATGCAGCACCACTTCTGTTTCTATAAGAAAACTTTTACCACTGACATAATTCAAAGAACCTAACTTTTTATGTGTACCAGACGATTATTGTACTGCTCGGAATCAAAAATCAAAGTTTAGTGATTAAAAATAGTCTCTACAATTGTCATACTCATTGAATTATGTGTTTCTAACTTATCTTAATAGGCCAATTCATTTATGAGAAAATAATGATAAGTTATAATTGGATTATATCGTTGCGACGAATTGCCCTGCAACGAATTGTCCGGTCACCAGTTTTAGAAGAGTTTGAAAAAAATAGTTTGAAATATAGTCATCTGAAAGAGTAGAAAATTCTGAGCAAAATGTGGGGTCGCCCAGTACTTCATGATGCTTTCTTACAAAGTTACAACCATTTAAAGAACTCAAAAAATTGCATAATTTACCAAAAAGCCGCTAAAAATAGGCTAAAAGCATATTTTTTAAGTTCTTCAAATGCTTGTAACTTTGTAAGAACACATCATGAAGTACTGGGCGACCCCACATTTTGCTCAGAATTTTTTACTCTTTCAGATGACTATATTTCAAACCATTTTTTTCAAACTCTTCTAAAACTTGGAATTCCAGTGGAATGGTTTTCTGGCGAATTCTCTACACTAAGTTTCTTTGAAACTTTTTGGCTCATATTATATTCAATAGAGTATTTCAAGAGCTATTCGAATCATTATTTGAAGTTGATCTTGCTATCTATTTTCGTCGAAAAATTTCCAAAATAAAAGGGTACCTATAATTTTGGGACACCCTGTATATGACTTATCTAGTGATAATTGATATAGACATAGATCAGGTACTGAATACTGGTCGTCAATAATATAGAAGAATTGCCTACTGATGGTCTATATAGATATAGCTCGTCTACCCAATACTGGTCCTCAATAATATAAATGACTTGTCTAGTGATAATCAATATAAATACAGATCACCTACTCAATGGTGGTCCTCAATATTATATATGACTTGTCTAGTGATTAGGGGTAGACCAGCTCAAGCTCACGAACCGATTCATATGAGCGGAAGAGCTGTTCGAACAGCTCATTTCAAGTGAGCTGAATCGTTCGAGCACCTCAATTGAGCGAACTGAGCTTTCAGAACAGTTCAATTCAAATGAACAGAACTTCAGGAATAAATATATACCGTCCTATAGTGGTACCCTTAGGACCTGAAGTTCTACTATTGGCGGCACTCTAAGGTCCTCAAGTCCTACTATTAGTGGTACTCTTGGGTCCTCAAGCCCTACTATTGGGAGGCACTCCAAGGTCCTGAATAGGGGTGCCGGCTTAGCATTAGCATTGCATTAATTAATGCTAATTTTAATACTTTTGTATTAGAATTAAAAAATTAATTTAATGCTCTGGTATTAGGGTTAAAAAAATAATTTAATACTTTGGCATTAGCATTAAATTAAAATTAGTATTAAATTAGTATTACTTAATGCTGATACATAAGAAAAAAGTATTAACTAATGCTAATTTAATACTAATTTTAATTCAATGCTAATGCCAAAGTATTAAATTATTTTTTCAACACTAATACCAGAGCATTAAGTTAATTTTTTAATTTTAATACAAAGTGTTAGCATTTTCCTAATACTAATACTAAGCCGGCACCCCTAGTCCTGAAGTCCTACTATTGGGGGTTCTAGGGGTGGTGCATTAGAATTAGAATTGGCATTTATTAATACTAATGCTAATGCCTTAGGCATTAGTATTAAAATTAATCCTAATGCTTTAGCATTATTGGCATTAGAATTAATTAATGCTTAGGTGTTAGCATTAAATAGCATTAGTTTTAACTCTAATGCATATTTTTCAAAAACAGAACAAAATTATTCTGCTTTTTGGGAATATGATTCCTTGATGACTCATCAATGAATCATATTCCCAAAAAGCAGAACAATTTTGTTCCGTTTTTGGAAACTATGACTCATTGATGACTCATATTTCCCAAAACAGAACAAAATTGTTCTGTTTTGGGAAACTATGTATTAGAGTTAAAACTAATGCTAATTTAATGCTAACACCTAAGCATTAATTAATTCTAATGCCAATAATGCTAAAGCATTAGGGATAGTTTTAATACTAATGCCTAAAGCATTAGCATTTTTTAAATACTAATGCTAACATGCCACCCCTAGGGGGTACCCTTGGGTCCTGAAGTCCTACCATTGGGGTGTGGGTGTGGGTGTGGGTGTGGGTGTGGGTGGGTGTGGGTGTGCGTGTGTGGGTGTTGGTGTGTGTGGGTGTGGGTGTGTGGGTGTGGGTGGATGTGGGTCAAAGTATTCCACCCACACACTCACACCCACACCCACACCCACACGCACACACACCCACACCCACACCTACACCCACACCCACACTTTTTTGCTCTTGCCAGATCAAGATATAGGATGTGAGTTAGTGCAGATTTTGACAATCATCTTCTGTTTATCCACACTCTGTATAGCAAGCAAAAGTGTTGAATTATAAGGTACTAAATCATGTACGCATTACTTATAGTGAAGCAATGTTTTTTTCACTCGTATCGTAGTTAGTGTCTCCGTATTTAGCTAAAACTATTTTAATTACTGAGAAATATCATTTTAGTCATTTATTATTTCACAGTTTGTAAATACTATCGTATATACTTCTTTCTTTATCCTATGTATATATATTGCAAAAACAATAGTTGTTGCTATTTTATGAAAAAGAAAACGAGTTCTGTACCGTAGTCTAATCAAAGTTCTATTAATAGTTTTATACATTACAGAAGCTATAACCATTTAATCATATGAACAATGATTTTAAAAAGGTTTTTTTAAATTTTTTGTCAATGATGTTGATTGTTTCACTTCACTTGGTCCAAAACTTTATAGCATATGTCACAATATCAAAAAAATGTATATTTAATTATCTATTAGCTTATACAGAATATGTGAATATCACAGCTCACGAGAAAGCTTGAGGGTATGAGTGTGAGTATTGGTTCATCGAATTTTGCACCTGCACTCACACCCCCATGACAGTTTCGATTAACAACGAATAGATAAGCTGCATCATATATTTCTATGTTTTAGGACAAATAAACTATATATTCATCTTTTCTTCATCTGAAAAAGCAAGACTTCGAGAGTACTTTCACATGTATAGTCTTTTTCTACTTTTTAATGCATAATTAATATTTGCAAATTAAGATTGAACTTTCTGGAAAAAAGAGTTTCTGTGAGTGTTTTATCCAATAATGCATGATAGACTGATTAGAAATTCAATTTGAAAAAAAAAAACTCTTGCCAAAAGGAGTTAAGTAGTTATGACGTAGAACCAAGGAAAGTCAAGATTGAACACTTGGAGAAGCTTCCTCGTCAGACCCAAAGTAACTGTGCTATCTCACTGGAAAGAATTTATTAGAATGTAGCAAATGTCATTGTCAAAACTTTGTTGAATTGAAATTTGGTATACAAATAAGATCTTGAGGTCGAATATAAAGGATATGCTGCCATTTGTTCGGTGTATATTATCTAGATGAAAATCTATACCAAGCAATCACTAAATTCAAAATTTTCAACGAATTTGAGCATACATAAAAAATATCAGATGTTCATATCTTAGCATACAAATAATCAAAAGACAGTTTTTTTCTATTTTCTTGACTGGTACCATGACAATCTTCTCAATAATAATACCTAAAATCAAATTAGAAGCAAGAAATCTCTTTATAGTATTCATAATTGTTGCTTAGAAGTGATTTGTTGCTAACTTAAGAAACATTCTCGCTTAATATATGTGCGAAAACTAGGTGAACTGAATATCACTCAATCAAATTAGAATAAGTATACTGTATCATAATTTTTTGATACTGATTTTCAAACGAACGAAAATTTTTGACTTTGATATTTCTCCCGGTATGAATTTTTCTCTGAATCACATAGTTAGATCAGATATTTAGAAAAAAGTTTCTATTTTTCAGAAACCTTTTCAGTAAAGAAAAACGTGGAAGATTATATTTAATATGATCCAGCATGTAATTTCTTTAGAAAGGTTTCTATCACGAGAGATCGTTTTAGATAAATTTCATTACGTTCAAAATTTGAAGATCATTGCAACGTTTTATAGAAACAAAATTAGATTGATTTATCATGATTAAATTTCCAATACCTACAAGATGAAATGCAATGAGCACAAAGAGAAAATGAATTCGAGAAACTCTATGGTGTTTGTTAATATTGAGCAACCTTCAAAAGTACAAGCTGTTTAGTGATTCATGAAAAGTGAAGAGCAGAATATTTTTGAATTCTGTCCACTCTTTTCGAGTGAAACTCGACCTCAGTCGATGAACTGAATCATTGATTTTCAAGTACAAACAAGGGAATAGACTCTTCTATATTTTTAGTAAATTCAAACCTAGCGAATATATATTCATTATGTTGAGTTCGAAAGATGCATTATCTAGTGTTATTTGCACTCTGGCCTTGTCGTATGACGAAGTAGTACACTTGTCCAAATTTCTATACTTTTTCTAGAATGCATTGGATCTAATCTCTATTGATATTCGAACAATGCTGATCTTCTATGATATCATTTAAAACAGAATACAAGAAGAAATAAATTTCGAAGGCAATCTATTTTCTTCATACTCTTTTTAAACTATGAAAACCAGACAAAATAATGAAAATTGTTTTAGAACATCATATCGGTGCTCATCATCAATAATTACTTATTTTTTTTCAGACGAATCCATATTTTGTTTTCGTCCAAGAAGCTGTTTAAATTATCTCTGCATGTACTTGGCGATAAAAATTATTTTTGCCCTTTAATATATCATCTACCTATAACACGTTTTATGAAAGTGATATATTTGAAGATTGTTTGATAATGTTCAGAGCATTTGAGTTTTGTCTTTTTTTTCTGTTTTTGCAACGATATAAAATTGTACATACATAGATATGTAAGAGCATCGTCTACACAGTCATTCAAAATTTGTTGTACTCCATAGACATCATTATTATCGAAGTGCATCTGTAGGATATGTGTCTTCTCTTGGCAAAACCCACACCCTAATAAATAAATAAATCAATACCAGCTTTCTCATATTATTTGGCGTATGAGTATACCATTAGAAAGAGCATTGAAAACTGGACAAATGTTTCAAGCTTTTCCCATCTGCTATACTTCAGAAGCAATTATTTTAACTTATTTTTGCCAATATTCCAGTCTATAATAGAAAAATATTAGCACAATTCCTGGAATACTTATCAACATGTTTCAATTTGTAAATTTCTACCTAATGTCAATGCAACTGCTGATTGTAATAGATTGTAGTAAGTGCTAAAGTAAACTAATGGGCAACTATCATAAAATCTTACTTCAACCCTTGTCTTAGATCCTGCTTTACAATCTAAAACCATCAAAGTTGTCGTCACAACAGGACATTTTTTAGAACTATTTTTTTCTGATTCAGACAACATTGAAACAAGATTCATTATAGTTAATAGTTCCTACATTTCTTGTCAATAGTCCTAATACAAATCCGATTCTTCATTCCATGTGAAATTGACAAGTAAGATAAATAAAAATAAAAATTCTCTTTATCTTGTTTTGAAAAGCATTATACAACAGCAATACCTTGGTCGTATTCTTGAAATTGTACCAGATTTAAAAGCTTTACCTATAATACGTGCTGCACAATCAATAACATCAGGAAACATTATTTCCAGGTTTTGCGTTCTAATATCTTATTTCGTAGGATTTATTAATTCAAACAACAGTACAATATTAACGTAAAAAGATTTCCTCAATTATTACAATTACTTTCAAAAGATAATACAAATTATAAACAATATACTAATACCAAATCAAAATCTTCAATCAGCATTGTCTTCAATAACCAATTCAAGATCTTATATAAGAAATTCAAACAATCATATCAATAGAAAACGCATCTCTTGTTACCATCAGCAACCAATGGACTTTCATTATTAACTGAACTTGGTTCGTTACAAAGTAAGTCACAAATATATTGCTTTGTTTTTTTGAAAACTCTCACATACACACTTGTGATCAACGACATTGGCTACTTTCGAGAAAATATATTGGTAGGGGCAAAGATAAAATCAATAGGGTTATTTCCTTACCGGCACCGATCCAAAGGGTCAGACCAGATAAGGAGATTATTAATTCTTTATCCTCCTTTGGTGTTTGGAATGATCATTTATCAATAGAACAATACCAGAAAATAAATAAAAGATGTCTTGCGGTGAACAACATAAACTATCGATTTGTAATAAAGGTTTTATTTTGTGTTGTTTCAACTTCGATAACTTGAAAAAAAACATATAAGTTGAATTCGTTTTCTTGAATACAATGTATTGTATCATATATAACAATGACAGTGTGTGCTGTTGATATTAATATCATTCGAAAGTTTCACAAAGCCTAGATAGAAAAGAAAATAGTAGAGCAAATCATTATGTTATTTTCACTTTATTATTTCTTACATTTGTACAAAATATATGAAGTGAATAATAGGAAATAGAAATAAATCTATGATGAATTACAATAAATTTTGTTTTGACAACATAAGATGATATCAAAGTGAGATAGTAAAATATATCAAATGTACTACGATGAGTTTGATTCAATAAAGTAATAGTGTGATCCACGTTCGTTCTCAAATATGTGGAAAAAAAA